TTCGCCGCGCTACAAGAAGTCTTTCAGCTCACTACGCGGCGGCGGCGGCAGAAAGGCAAGGAAGCCAACCGAATGGACCTGCAAGGCTGCAAAGGATCAACCAATTCGAGCAGTTGGTTCGAGTAGGATGCCTCCTCATTTTCCATTTGATTGCTTGGTGCCACCAACAAAGTGCATTTGACGGTGCGCCAAAAAGAACCAGTGTGCAAGTGAATTTCACTTTGACTACCGTTTGCACGAGGTAATTCTGAGAGTGTCACCTTCATGAAACCAGTAAAACCGACTTCTGAAATACCTTGGCGGAAGAATGGGTCAAGGATTCCCCCCTACATGGGGACTCGCAATGCCCCGAGGAGATTTCAGGATTCTTGGAACAAATCAAGTCCGTCAGCTGCCGACTGAGGGTAAGCCTGTCTCCCCAACTACTCAGCTCTCTCAAGCAACGCCTTCGGCCTGGGCCCCTAGCGCTTTGCGCACCCGGGGATTTGGGGCCGGGCCTGCGTAGGGTCCCTCGGCGTCCTTTTTCAGTGGGCACTGAACTTGCCCCACCCGCCTTTACCATCTTCTCAATCGCCGCCAACTCCTTCAGCGACTGCTGAAACTGCAAGGGGTGCAGATCCTCGGGCACTCAGCTGAAGCCCTCACGTGGGCCAAAGCGTGATCCTTCTGAAACGGGAAGAGAAGGACCCCGACAAATCTCAAGGTGTTAATGCCCTGCGCCAACTACATGCACCTGTTCACCAGCTTGCTGTGACACTGCTCGTTCTTGGTGACGCTCGTGAACTTGAGATTGAGAATTAAGGGGTATAGAGCATATATCATGGAGTGATATCTGTCAATAGGAACTCACAACATGGTCTTCAACAAAGACTGTTTCAACGAAGACGTTGTAAACACATGGGCTGATGCAACCCCCGTTGAATCGAAAGCGACAACCACTTTCCCTGGTTGTACGGCACAACAGGCTCAGCGCCAGCTCTATCTCTATTTCCGTGCCGAGCCTCGAAATACCAGGACACGAGCCAGAGTTGGGTGACAGTTGATGGCTCTTTTGCCTTGTCGCTGAGTAAGAAGGAATAGTGACACCAATAGAATTGAACCATTCCGCCGTCTATCTTTTCTCAGTGTTTGCACCAAAGGGATGCAAAGGCTCTGTGTGGGTTCGCCATGCGAGCGTGCACGCAAAGCGAGCTGCATTCAAGCGGCTGCCTCGTGATTTAGCGCCTCCAATCCTCAGCTTGCCCGTTTTGAGCAAAGATCTACAGGCAGGTGCAACAACCCTTTGTCAAGGCCTCCAGTTTCCTCTGAGCAATCTCATGCCTCGTATGGAAAGCTGAGGTGGCGTCCCTTCTCGAAGCCCTCCCTGATCCTGAGCTGAGGCAAAGCTTGGAGCGAGCTGGCTGGCCAAGTTTGCCGCTAAACAAATTGCCCTGATGAGAGGGTTGCCACACCCAAACAACCGCCAGGGCATCTCTTACACCGCAAGGATAGGGTTGTGAGCCACCTTGTCAAGGCGTCAGTTATAGCCAATCTGAATGACTGAATCAAGTGGTCTCAAACATGGCCGAACTGGGCCATGGGTTCTGTGAAGCATTTTCCGAACAATGCACATGTCCAGGCAAGATGAAATAGATCACCAACTGGAATCAAAATAAAGAGTCCCCTGGTAAATTCTCGGCATCATGGCACATCATGGGTGAGCTCGTTTCAGCCTGCCCAGGTATGCTCGACAGCCGTCGGGAGAACACCTTTCCACGTCAGTCGCAAAGGTTGGGCTGGCGCTTGCTCGGGAATACCTAGTTTCCAAACGTGTGGTAGGCAGTACCCTTCTCAAAATGAGCTGGGTTCCTCCAACAGGACGGCTCAAAGCCCTCCCTTCTGACCAAAGCAAGCACAATCCGGGCTTCCCCCTAAACACCCAGTTTCTTCCAGCCAGGTTCCTCTCTTACACATACATGTCACGCGTGCGCGCGGCTTTTGGATCGCCCTAGGAACTCGGCAGCTTACCTTCCAAGAACGCCATTGGACATGGCAACCTTGCGAAGCGGCTTGGATCTTGCCTTAGTCCGAAAACGCCGGCGCTCCTGTTCCTCACTCTCGGAAATTGAGGATCCCCAGAATGAACTTTGATCATGGGGTTTCAGTCGCAAAGCAACAAGGTGAAACGGTCGCTTTGGGTTTGGGCAATTGAGGGAATACCAACTTGCTCGGTTGTGGAAACATGCCCATCCTAGTTGTTTGCACCTGCCTGAAACACCAAACGACAAGCTATGTGAACATTTGGTGTTCGGTTCCCGAACCAACACTCTTTCGGGGGAAAAAACAGCGCCAGTTGGGTCTGTTTTTGAGGGTAGTTCCTCTTTCGATTGGTGGGATTATACGAATTGAATAAATAAACCAACAAACAGCCATTTATCTTGGGTGGCTCCCCGAAAAACACCCCCCGATTCCTTGTAGGGTGGGATGGCTTTCTGGAAAGGATCTCGATGGGAGTTTCTTAAAGTACAGTAGACTTCGGACCGCATTTGGTTCTACATATGGACAGTCAGATAATATTGTGTTCTTGTGTAGGGGGGCCAAATGAAAGCCGGCCATCTACAGCTGGATTTCCCCTGCAGAGGTTGCAATTTACTGGTGGTTGCCATGGAAACAATCGCCACTTTTGAAATCTCTGAAATTTGGGAACCCCAACAAAACTGGCCGGCCAGACCCTTACACCCTTACTTGGGTTCGTCTTTTTGTTGTTGCTACAACTTTTCCGGGGTTTTTCACACGGAACAAAACATCATATTTTCTGAGGGAGCCAAATGGAAACGGACGCCACGTAGGGACCACTCGATTTGGGCTTGTCTTTTCTTCTTGCTACCACTTTTTGGGTTTAAAACGGAACCGAATATGATCTTTTTCCTGGGTAAGGGAGCCAAATGGGAAACGGACGCCGACCAACTCCGCGCCGAAGGCTCTGAGCCGCCGAGTCCGGCCCGGAGAGCTCCGCCAGATCCAGCAGACTCTGCGCCTGCGTGGCCTCGGAGCCGAGATGTGACACGCTGGTTGCTGGAATTGCCACGTTTGCGTGCAATGATGCTTGGCTGAGCTTTACACTCATTGCTGCCTCATGTAAATTCCGTTGTTTACACTTCCATGGTAGCTCTGCTGCAACCCTCCCTTGTCCTGCAGAAAAGCATTCTTCCACAATGGTGGACTATGCACTTCCAGGTGTGTTGGAGGGTAACGTCCAGGATGTGGAAACTTTTGACCCTTGGCGTTGACTGTACGGGATCTTGCAGGCACACCAGAAGACACATGTTAAGCACCAACTGGAGTCCCCTCAAAGCAAGTCGCAGATAAATTGAGCTCGCCAAGCTGCGGAACTATGTTGATGCCTGACATAACAACCTCCCCAACATCATAGGGAGTCTGTTCCTCTCAAGCCCCCTGAAAAATGTGACTCGAGAGTTTGTTCAGGGGTCGGTCAATGTGAAAGGGTGCCATTTAATGTTGCCTTTGAAGGCGGTCAGCCGCGGCTGAATATGTGTCCGGGTCGCAAGCAAAGACCGCAATGGCATACTAGCTGTTACATTTTTGTTCGGCATGTGTACAAAATCCCGTGGATCCCATTGTTCTTTTCTCGCTCTTTCTCTTCCTCTTTCGCATCTTTCGCATTCTCTTCTTCTGCTTCTTCTTCCTGTTCTTCTTCGTCTTCTTCCTCTTTCTCTTTTCCCTTTCGTTTGCGAAACAGGAACGGCAGGCGCACCAGTTGGTGTCAGGTAGTGGTAAGAGAAATGGTATGTGTCGGAGGCAGCCTTTTCCTTCCAGATTCCCTCCAAACCAAAAAAGAGGGTCCCCTCGGAAGAAAACAAACAGCACAAGACCATGTTGTTCAGCAGCGACATTCAGCTATTCTCAACTAAACAAAAACCTAAGGGCGCACCTCGAGCTCGCTCTCTCTCTCGACTCTGGGACTTGAGGCCATCGCCAGGTGCTGTCGAAGCTTCGGGGTCTTGAAGAGCTGCTGCTTGAGCTGTGGTGGCAGCTTGGGCATCACCAGGCGCTCCTCGGCTGTCTCGGCGAATGGGATCCGGGCAAGTTAGTGAAAACGCCACAGGTTTAAAAAAGGGCAACCAATCAAGAAACAGACGGACCTTCATGATGAAACTGCTATTCGGCTATTCATGAATGAGGGGCTCTGGCCAAGGAATCTTTGATCTCTTTCCTTGCTAAGCCTGCCTCTGCCCAACCAAAACAAGACTCAGCATTGAGCTCGTCGGACGCAAAGCTGGCGTGCAGTACCTGGAGCGCTGGGTGGATTTATTTGCGGAATTTGGAACAAAGGACTGAACCAATACTCTCTCTCTCTCTCTCTCTCTCCCTCCCTCCCTCCCTCCCTCCCTCCCTCCCTCCCTCCCTCCGTCCCTCAAGATCTGACTGTTGAGTGGCGAGCAGCTTCCTTCCCAAAGCCAAGAACCCCCCCCAGGTCAACACGTTTTAAGCCGGGAGCACCTAAACTAATAACAAATCCATCTAAGTGGGGCAGACCCCCCATGGTTCCGTTGGAATCGGCACAGTTGAGCCGTGTTTGCAATATTCCGTGGGCACGCGAGGCATTCGCGCATGCGCTGGCCGCTACGAGTCTGCAGTTCTGTTCTGGTTACCTTCAGGTCTCCAACCTAAGTGGACACCATGAGTAGGACAGTTGTGCCATGGCCCAGCAGTTGGCTAGACGCTGCGAGTTGCGGGCTGACTTTGGGAACACGGGATCGCCAGAAAACCTTTTCGACCTCCACCACGTCGATGGCTTGCAGCAAGCTCTCACACCTTTCCCGCTGGAGGAAGCTCTGGGATATGTGGCATCTTGCGATCTAAAACAAGTGGCCCCCAAAAACATATTTTCAAAGGGACTTGTCCAACAAGCCTTCGGCAATTTGTCCGCAGGCAGGAGACAGCTTACTTTTTGAAAGCAGCTGCTCTTGAGCCAGCAGCGCGCAACTTGCAATCCTCCAATTGCTGGCTCCAAAAAGGCTTCCAGCTGATTGAATCAACATCCAAGCTGATGCTTGAACCACCCTGAAGGGGTAACCATGGGCTTTGCCTCTTTGGAGGGAGCACTTGTGTTGAACGGCAGACGAAGGGGGCACCACTTTTTGAAGGACGATCCGCGCGCCGTCCTTTTGTCACCGGGACATGCGTCCCGAAAGGAATCGATTTCCCGCAGGAAGGCCTCTGTTGCGTCGGACCTCGGGAGCGCACGAAAGGTTCGGCTTGGTGCGAGGAGTCGGCAGAAAATCAAATGATCCATTCCGTTTTGGTTTGTCCTAAACCCGAAAATTGGTTCACCATGGGCCATCTATAGCATTCACTTCGGCCCCTTGTAAATTAGAACAAGTATGGATGGTATGGTTGCCATTGATTGCAGCTCGTTTGGAGCTCAATCCATGCTTGCCAACGGTGAAGGAGCTGTGGGGTAGGGAATTTTGGCCTTTCCGGTTTGCTTCCTGCAGGGAGTGACGGCCCGAAGATTCCGTGCCTTCGCTTAGGCTCACCTATCGAAAGACATGTCACCGATCTCAACACATCTATGCCTCGTGACACGAAAAGGAGAATCAGCAGGAATCATCCATTAAACTCTGCTGGCGCTCTAAAGACAGACCTAAGGAACTGTTCCTGCACCTGCCCAAGCCCACCTTCGAGCGTGGCTGCGAACAAACCATGATCACGCCGACCTACGATGTGAGCCGGCAACAGAAGGCACCGTCGCAAGCTTTTGGACCCGGGGCCCGGGCTGGGCCAAATCCAAGCGTTCCAAGTGCGGACAGTTGGTCAGGAACCCGGCGAGCTCCCTGCCGGCCTGGCCAGAGAGGAGGTCTGCTCGGAGCTCGGAGCGACTTTTTTCGCGACATCATTCTTGGCCCAACCTGATTTGGAATTCGGCACGGCCAAAAGAAACAGTACCCCGCCCCTTTGGTTTGGCCTCACCAACCACCAGCCAAGGTGCGCGTCACGTTGAAAAGCCACAAAAACAACTGGGCCCTTCCCGAGTCTTTCACGTCTCTGATGCATGCAACTCTCATGAACGGCCGAAAGAAAGGGCCTCATACCCCTTCCGCCTGCAACAAGGGACCGCCCCATATCGATGCCATATCGAGTCTGCGGACGGCCTGCCATTCCGTAAGCCCAGTGCAGCCCCAGAGGATCAACCTAGCCATGGCAGGCTTCGGCTCAGACGACACGAAGTTCGGGGCTGGTGCCCCATCCTTAGGATCGTTATGGCCTTGAAGTCGTCGCAGCGACGGTGGCAAGTGCACATCTTTGGCCCATCGGATCAGCCGAACTGAGCTAAATTGACAGCCGGAAGCATTCGAAGCACTTCCATGAGAAATGCACAGTTGTATACCCCCGGCCGCCTTTAGCGGGGGGACGGGACCAACGAAAAATGACGTTTATTTGGGGGGGATGGGGGGAAGCCCCAAAAAAGCAATTTAGCATTTCATGTGCAGTCAAATCCTGCTCAGCCACCAAACCACTCGGTCAGATTTAAGGGAAAACCCCCCCCCCCCGGGGTTGTGGAAAAATAAATTTCAAGGGAAATTGCGCTCCCTTGCCCTCCCGCGCTCACATTGCATATGACAATGTGACGCGGGCTTGAAGGGCAGCCCATCTAATAAACAGCCCTGAAACAGCTTGTGCAGGGGAGCAGGCCCAAGCCTAGAACCTGAAGGCGCATTTGGGGGCGGACTGCGTCGATTCTACGAATTAGTGAAACCCGATCTACGGAGATCAAAACGTCAAGATTTACTTCCCGGCTGATCAAAAACAGGTCCGCCCACATTTCCGGGTGGCAACACACCCAAGTTGCCGCTGTTCAAATCCCTTCCTGCCAAAGGCAGCTTTCACCTTGAAACAAAGGCCTTTCTCTAAAATGCAGGGTTGGCCACTCCTAAGTCATAATCTCTGCAGTTTCTTTTGACATGCCCGCTCTCCACTTTCCAGCAAGGAAGCTCAAGCCTGCGACTGAGCTTCAGGCGTCTGCAATGCTAACGGCTCCCTGCCGAGACAGCAAGCAAAGAGCAAGGAGAGATCTGCTGCACGGAACTCGCAAACTCCAAAACTGCGTGACGCTGCCGTGGTTTTATCACATGGGTTCTAGCGTGCGCGCACGAGGCATGTGACAGGGGATGAGTTCTTGCATGCCCCCAGTTGAGGGGCACTCCTCTCACGGGAACTCAGACAAACATGACTTAGAACATGATGCTTGACGCATCGAATCCAAATCTCTGTGCGATAAAGCCCGGTCAACAGGACCCTTGACCAAACACTGGACCGTGATTAAACAGACATGTTTCCTCCAACGTGATTTCGCCCCCAGCTGCCTCCAAACATGGCATTGGGGTTAAAACTGCGAGGGCACGGGGGGTTTCCAATTGTCTCGTATCACACAACCCCAAGGAACATCATGTGAAGTTCATCGAGGTGATGCCAAGGAAATGGTGACAGCTCTGCCAAGACGGCATTTCTAGGGGTCAGTGACTCTTTCCTTTCATGGGAGTTGAATGCGGGGGTCTGGCATTTAGCAAAGTCGGCTGTGCAACTCTTGGAGATCTGTCGTCAGTTTCACAAATGGCAATGCAGCCCCCCCCGCCAAAAAATGTTGCTCTGGTGTGCAATTCATGCGCGAACACTTTTTGCCAACAAGTTGGAGGGGTCTTGCCAAGTATACAGCGGCCACGAAACAAGCAGACCGACTCCTGCATTTCAAGCACAGCCCGTAAAGACAGGATTCTATTTGCATTGCCTTGGAGGCGGAATCTCGCCTAGCGCCCGAACGACTGACTTCATAGCCACCCACATGCAAATGAGCTTTATATCAGCGCCCCAAGCCTGTTGACTTTGGCTTCTATCAAGCTGGCAGTACAAAATCATACTAGCCTCACGTTAGTTGCCAAAACTGAGTATCAGCCGGCTTTGTAACATTGCTGCGATTGCCTTCCAGTTTTTTTTTTGGGTTGTGGCCACATAACTCAGTTGCTTGTTGCCCAATGAGAAACAAAGCGTTAACCTTTTAGGGCCATGACTCAAAATGGAGGAACAACCGGAAACCAAAAGGTCACGGTCGGCTTTGGGCAAGTGAAATAAGGAATCAATTGAAGTTGAAGCTCAAGGGGAAGCCATATCACACAAATAACGGCAAAGCTGAGCAAGGACTAACACCCAGCACCAGACCAACAGGGGTACACACGCGCACACACACACACACCACACCTGGAAGTGTTTTTTTTCTCCGTCGGTGAAGTTGCGGCAAAGGACTCCCCATCCACTTTCTGCAAACAAAAAACAATCACAGAACAAACAAAGAATTGGCACACAAACCCATTTGTGCTATGGACACCTTGCAAGGCCTTCCAAGGACACGATCCCAACTAGAACACTTGAGGCAGAAATGGCGAACCTGTTTGTCCCAGGTTCCATTGAACTATTTACCAGCCAGTTCTGACCAGTGTGATTTAAGCCCACTAGGCAAAGTAGAAACAGGAAGGATCCGATCCGACGTCAACTCGTACCCGGCTCACAAGCCAGCGACGCGTGCTTTTAGCCCGCCTCAAACGCCGCCGCAGGATTTGGAAGGTCACGACCTATGGCTCTGCGCAGTTTGGGGCATGACATGATGGAACAACTGCTGTTTTGAACGTCTGAGTGGAAAGAGGGTCACCATATTGGAGGCCATCGATCTGGGTCTTCATTCGCAACGCGATGGGCAACATGTCCATCCTCTGCGAATGCGGCAATGTCTCATGCCATCTAACGTGATGCAGGCTATGATGGTAACAGCAAGCTCACAATATTACAGTCGCCTGGTTGCGAATGGTGCACCATGAGGCGTGATATGTTCTGCCGTGCACTAGGCCATATGTCACGCTGCCCAGGCTATTTGCGGCAGTGGGGTTGCTCAAGTTTAGAATATGCAATGGATTCTAAAGACTACGCATCGTAGCAAAGTATCCCATCGTTTCACAGTTAAACTTAAGACCTAGGAATCTGCTTTTGCTTGCCATCAATGTCAGTCGATGAGTCTGGAGCCCAGGCAAATGAACAGTTGAATACACATATAGACTCCTGGACAGCAAGGACCGCCAATAACAGCGCCGGGCACATCTGCAACATGATTTTGCGTGGGTCGCTTTTTTGGGTCTTCCTTTTGGTTTTCCTTTGGCTAAGGTGCTTCATTTTGCCTAGCCCTGGCATTAGCCTAGCCCTGGCACAGCCTTGCGTGCACGAAAGGGTGGCATTTAAGTCTACAACTTAGGGTGTGCACGGGTGGGTTTCGGGTAGGCCTAGGGTAGGTTTGTGGTAAGCTTAGGGTCGGTTGAGGGTGGGTCAAGGGCGAGCTTGGGGCAGGCTTTGGGTAGAATTAGGGTCGGTGTTAGGGCTAGGTTTAGGGTGGGTGCAGGGTGGGTTTAGGGTAGGTTATAGGCTAAGTTTAGGGTTCATGGCAGGTAAGTTCAAGGTTCAGGGTTGTCCACAGCCACCCGACCGCAATCAACCACTAAAACATAAACATTGACTCATAGATGGGTTGAGCCTGCCTGTCAAAAGGCCAAGAGAAGCAAATGCTGGATCATCTGAGCACTCATTTCACCCATTGACTTTGGGTTCTGCCCAAGCGTCAAGGTTTGTAAAGACTACAGACCCTTCCCCCTTGGACCAAGAGCAGGTTACATCCACAGGGCCTAGGATA